ACCCCGGGTCTGGGTTTTACACAACCAACCAATTAACAACACTAGCAGTATGTCTAGATTTAATAGTATCGCTATGTCCTATCATAGTTCAGAATTAAGTACAAACTTTCTGGCCAGATTTGTTTAATTTTATCGCTATTTTTTAAACACGTATATTTATTTTTTTCTTTCTATTTTATATATGTATCTACAAGTACATTTGATATTATTAAAATATTTTAATAGTTATTAACCATTAATGACTAAATAAAATAATTACCTAAAAGAGGTACTATAAATATACTTAATATATATTAAATACAGATGAGGAGGAATGCTAAAGATAGTTTTGATTATTATCACATGTCTGTCTTATATAAAATTCAAATTATGGTTGAGATATAATTTCAAAATATTCAGATACCTGCAAAATATTTTATTATTTGAGAATTTTATTCAATCAAAAAAATGTAAATAAGAATTTTTTTGAGTATTCAATCAAAAAATGTTAATAAGAATTTATTTGATCAAGTAAAATGAGGAATAAGTTAATGAAGTAAATAATTGGTATTCATGATTCAAGTTGGAAGTCTTAAGTAATAAAATGTAAATAACAGATCAAATATCTTAATAATTAATTTAAAATATTCGTCCTCTAGTCGACACAAATTGACGACTCAAGTTGAAATTTTTAAGTACAAAATGTAAATAATAGAATCTTAAATAATAACATTTGATTTGAACTATTCGTCCTCTAATCTACTCAACTATATAATTTGTATTCACGACTCAACTGGAAGTCTAAAGTAAAAAATGTAAAAACAAAAAATATCTTATTAATAATATTAAAAATATTCGTCCTCTAGTCGACTCATGTTTAAAGAACTTTTCTTCCTCTAGTCGACTCAACTTCAACTATATAATTCTTATTCACGTCAAGACTCAAGTTGGAAGTCTAAAGTAAAAAAATATAAAAAACAAAAAATATTTTCATAATAACTAATTTGGAATATTCATCATCTAGTCGACTAATTTATATAATTCTTCTCAGTTTTCACAATTCAAATTAGAAGTCTAAAGTAAAAAAATGTAAAAAGCAGAAAAAATATTTTAAATAAATTAATAATTAATTTGAAATATTCGTCCTCTAATCGACTTAAATTGTCGACTCAAGTTCAGAGAACTATTCGTCCTCTAATCGACTTAAATTGACGACTCAAGTTCAGAGAACTATTCGTCCTCTAGTCAATAACTATATATTTTGTATTCACAACTCAAGTTTGGGGTTTAAAGTAAAAAGTAAATAACAACAAATATCTTAAATAATAACTAATTTGAAATATTCGTCCTCTAGTTGACTCAAGTTCATAGAACTATTGGTCCTCTAGTCGACTCAATTATTTAATTATATTCACGAGTCACGACTCAAGTTGGAAGTCGAAAAAACTACAAAAACTATCTTAATTAATAATAATAAATCTGAAATATTCGTCCTCTAGTCGACTCAAGTTGACAACTCAAGTTCATAAAATCGACTAGAGGACGAATATTTTATGAACTTGAGTTCACGACTTGAGTTGACTTGAGTTCACAACTTGGGTCGACTTGAGTTCACGACTTGGGTCGACTTGAGCTCACGACTCGAGTCGACTCGAGTTCACGATTTGAGTTTGAGTTAGTCGACATATTCGACTAACGACTCGAGACTCTGAGTCGGAGTCGGATGAACTCGACTTTTTAACAACACTAGTTGTGACTGTGACTGCTATAATCATTTTGATTGGACAAATAATATTTAGAAGAAAACTATTGGCTAAATTTGATTGACATTTTTTGAGGATTATATATATAGATATTCATCTTATTATTTTATAAATGTATACTTATATTTTGAAATGTTTAAAAGTTTATCTTGCTACACTATAAATTCACATTTTTACAAATTGTTGTGTATAAATATTAAAAGTATATAAAATAAAAGTAGCTGTGATAAAAATTACATATTTTACCATAATAAATTACATATCTGTGCAAAAAATTGTGGTGACTTGAATGAATATGTATTATTGATCATACAAAGTGAAAGTTTTATTTGGAAAATTCTAGGTGATAATGTTAAATTATTAATCATAAATATTAAAAAAAAAATGGTTTTTAAATTTATTTTTTGTAACATGTCTAAAAGAATATTTCTTTTTTCATATCCTTGTTTGCTGAAGTTGTTGAATATTAGAATTGCTTGATGGTTGAGGGGTATAATTTAAAATATTGATTATATATTTCTGAGAATCATGATTTTCAAAATTTGTTGCTAGGGTAATATTGTTGTGTGGATTAATTTGCCTTTGTTATTTATCCTTAGAATATGTGAATTTATCTTTAATATTTTATGAAAGTAATAATTCATTTATTCATTCATTACCATGCCAGAAATTGTACGAAGTGCAATTTCTTCACCCATTAGGAGTTATAGGGTGCACCGTGTATATTCACTAGTATATGGATCCTATACATAATGTATACCGGTTTTTTTATAGTGGAAGCACTATGTAGTCGTCAGCTAGCATAGTAATGAAGAGAGGAGTAAGAAAGAGGTGTCTATTAGTTTCGCTACCAGCAAGATAGTGTAACAATATTGTAACCAATATTAATAATATTTAAGAGAAGAATAAAGTAAGTCTTAAGTTAGATAAATATATCCTTAACCCATCCATATAAAATTATTTTGTTTGCAAACATAATTAAAATTACAAAAGGAGGAATAAAAGAATTTTCAATAATGCTATCTATATATTTTAATTATTTTTGCAAATATTTTTATATGGATGGGTTTTAATTTAATAGTCAATATGTTTCATTAAATCATCAAAACACTGTAATCAATATTATCAATAAAAAAAGGAAGTCATGAAATAAAATACGAAGTTTAAAAAATATGGTATCTGGCATTGGTATCAGAAATATGCATGATTTGTCCAAATCCCAGCCTATTCAGATCAACCAGCCTGAAATTTTGTGTTTTATTATATGATTTTTTTCCTTTCACAAAATATTATTATAGATTGAGCCAAAAAAGCACTTTTAAAAATCCTAAAGGGTCATAGGTCAATTCAAGTTGATCTCCTATTAATTAGTAAAAGGTATCTTTACAAAAATAATCGATTAGTAGATATGGAGTATGAGTGTCCACATCACAATAGCCCAAGGAGTTTATCAAGGGTCGGCTCTCAGCCAACTTCTCTTCATAACAATAATAGATTATATTAGCACAGTCTATACCACAAAGAGTCTCGTGGAATATGATATTTGCAGTGATATGGTGATACTTGCTGAATCCAAGAATGAAATGAAAGAAAGATTAGTGAGTTGGATAAATATCATAAAAAAGCACGGACTAAAAGTAAATAGAGAAAAGACGGAATATATGGTGATAGGAGGAGATGAAACAGAGAGCATTGATATAAATGAATGGCAGTAATCGGCAATTGAAAGCTGCAAATATTTGGGCTCCACTATACAAACAAACGGCACAATAGAAAAAGAGATAAAGAGTAAAATTAATCAAGGGTGGTTAAAGTGGAGATCTTTATCTGGATTGCTATTTGACAAAAGAATCCCACACAAATTGGGAAAAAATTAAAGTTCTATAGTACAACCAACTATTCTATATAGTTCGGAAACATGGCCAACCAAGGAATCAGACTAGAGAAGTCTACAAACTATGGAGATGAGAATGCTGAGGATGATTGCTGAGATAACAAGAAAGGATAAAGTGCGAAGTACAAGAATACTAGGAAGTTTAAAGGTAGTGCCCATTAAGACTAAGATTATGGTAAACAGAGTTAGGTGGTATGGGCATACAATGAGAAGGCCTATGAACTACATAGGAAATAAGGTTGAGAGTTTGGAAGTGATGGGTGAACGTAAAAGAGGAAGGCCAAAACTTCAATGAGGCCATAAAGTTAAAGCCAATATGAAGAAGTATAAATTAGATAAAAGAGATAGTATGAATAACATAAAATGGAGAGAGATATTGAAGGAGCTTACCACCAGAAAAGGTGATAGCTAAAGAGAGAAAAAAAATTTTAATTTGCAAACTAATTGGAAAATATGGAAATATTTTAAATTAAATCAGCACACTATATAATAATGCATTCATTGTAAATGAGGGATTTCTAATTGAATTCATGTTATTAATAATAACTCTTTTACATACACAATATTTTGATAGTTGATAGAAGAACATAATTATTTGTTTTTTAGTTATAAGGGAGTATATATATCATTAAAAGAGTGTAATCAATAATGTTAGGGTTGTGTAGATTTTTAAGGGTGGTTTACATTCAATGAATGATCTGTCATGCAGATGCTAACGATCAAGAAGGCTCTCCCAAAAATGATAGCAGAAATTATCCAGAAATAAAATTTTTTTTGTAAAATTACTCTTAGCTATTATATTATATACAATATATCTAATGGTGGATGCTTAGCAATCTTTTATATGTACATTAAATAGTATAATAAAAGTATTCAAAAAATTTTAACAGCAATATATTCTGCCTTTACTCTAGAGATTAATTTTTAATTCCATTATAAATATATCCCAATCCCTTTAAATGTCTATATTCTATATCTTCCCCCCTTTAGATGCTTACCTCCCTAAAAAAATTAGGAAGCAAACTGCCGTCCCATTTTCCTACCTTTTGTATTGATAGGAGACTAAGCAAAAATGATTAAATATTTTTTACAGAATCTGGAACACATGCAAATATCTAGAATAGTATTATTAATCATTTCTTAAAAATTTTGATTAATTTATTGATGAAGACGGTATAAATATAAATGTTTAACTTGGAATTATATTTTAAAAAGTTAAAATAATGAAAGATACAGTATTATTATTTACAATTTAAACTTTTTTTAAAATTTAATTAAGTAATGCGGTTTTTCAATCCTATTTGCTCTAAATTCGTAAAATAATTCGCAATTTTTTGAACTGCCATTCTATATGAGTATTAACTATTTTGTCGCAAAAACATTCACTATTATTGTTGTTGAATTGAAATAATGGAAGAATCTATCAAATCTAGTTTTAAAGAGTTAGATCAGTGGATTGTTCTCTTAATGCAATGTAAACCCTTAACTGAAAATCAAGTCAAAATATTATGTGAAAAGGTGATAAATTTTTTATTACATATATAAAACCTATATTTTCAGGCAAAAGAAATTTTATCAAAAGAATCAAATGTGCAAGATGTATCTTGCCCTGTAACTGTTTGTGGTGATGTACATGGGCAGTTTCATGATTTAATGGAATTATTTAGAATAGGTGGTAACTCACCTGATACAAATTATTTATTTATGGGTGATTATGTTGATAGAGGATACTATTCAGTGGAGAGTGTTTCTTTATTAGTAGCATTAAAAGTAATTAATATTTATTGCATATATTTATATGCCTTGTTATTATTTTGATATTATAATTTAATTGATTATAAATTTTTTAAGGTTAGACATAAAAATAGAATAACCATTTTGAGAGGAAATCACGAGAGTAGACAAATCACACAAGTTTATGGTTTCTATGATGAATGTCTTCGAAAATATGGGAATGCTAGTGTTTGGAAATATTTTACAGATCTCTTTGACTATTTACCATTAACAGCATTGGTTGATGGACAGGTATTTTAAATAAATATCAATTTATTATTATTATTTATGAAGATATTTTGTTTACATGGAGGATTATCACCATCTATTGATACCTTAGATAATGTACGTTCTATTGATAGAATACAAGAAGTCCCTCATGAAGTTAGTAAATATGCCAAAATTATTATATTACTATCATATTTGCGTTTTAACATTTTTATTTAAATTGTTAATATATTATGTTTAATCTTTTTGATAAAAGGAAAAAATATTCATATTTCTAATATAAAAACTTATGTGTAAATATTATTAAATTAATTAAAATTATGAGATAAAACCATTTTTATTGTTATAAATATAACATTTAATGTTTTTACTATCTATTAAAGTAAGTTTTTTTGATAATAATACTGAGTTTATTTATACAAATAAATTTGGGAAATTTTAGATAGGAGGTTTTGAAGTTTGCTATATTTAATAACTGATTAGTGGAAACTTTGCACTTAATTTATCATATGTAAAAAAGATTTTAAAAGACTAAGAGCTATTTTAGTTATTTTATGTTCATTTACTGCTTGCTATTTATTGACCTGTTAATCACTAAATTATGGAATTTTGGTGTTCACAAATTATTTTGTTATTAAATCAATGAAATTTGATTAAATATCTTGTAAACTAATCATTCCATCTAATTTTATTTTTAAATAAATATAGATTATTTCAAAAATCTAAAATTTTCAGGATTTATAATTTGAATATTAAAATGATGTTTATAAACAGGGGCCAATGTGCGACTTATTATGGTCAGACCCTGATGACAGAGGAGGGTGGGGTATATCACCTCGGGGTGCTGGTTATACTTTTGGTCAAGATATTAGTGAGACATTCAATCACACAAATGGGTTAACATTGATTTCCCGTGCTCATCAATTGGTTATGGAGGTAATATTGACTTTTTTTAGGGGAGTTGAACATATTTATATATTATTGTGACTGTATCATATCTTTAGGAGAGAAACCAATCAAAGTTACCACCTTGATCTTAAAAATTATTTTATAATGCATATATATACTGCAGAATTAAATCAACTTATTTTGATGCATATTTTTTTTAAAAGGGGGAGAAACCAGCAATGTAAATGAAGGAGGGGGGGACAGAAAGAAATGAGAATTATTAAATAGGAATAAGATAAGTTGTGTATAAAAAATATTTTAGTTTAGCAGATATATGATTAAATTTCATATGTTTCAAATAATAATCCAACTATTTTTTTATAAATAGATCAAATTTCTATATAATTTTTTTTTTCAGAAAAAATAATAATGGCTGAAAAAAATTCTAGAACAATGAATACTTTCAAATTTGTCATTATTAAAATAATAAGATTTATACAATTATGCAACAAATTTTGACTATTAATCTTAGAGTAGTGTAATAATTATAAATTGTTTTACTCTCTTATATATAAATTTAATATTTTGATAACAGTTACAAGTTATTAAATGCAAACTATTAGAAAAAAATAATTTTCTAACAGAAATTTAAATTTCTAGATTTGCCTATGATTTGTTGAATATAGACAATATACTATATTAAATTATTTCAATTCTTTAAATATTATGGTAATTTGAAAGGGCATGATGCAATGTTAAATAATCTTATTTTTTTTCAAATTAAAAAAAGATTATATATACTTAATCATTTCTTAACAAATTATACATATTTTAATATTTTTCTAAAGACATAATTTTTTTTTTAGCCATTGCATATTTGATAGAATCCTATTCAAAATTATTTTATGCAATATATATAAATAATATATCAGATCAAGTTGCAAATTTTTCGAATTTGTTATTAGAAACATTATTTTTTTCATAGCAACTTTTTTTTTATCGTGGATATATTTGTGCTGTCAAGTCGTTATCGCAAAATAATGAATCTATTGCAATGCTTTACATAAAAAAACAACATATTCAATAATGACTTTCCTGTATAGGAATTATAAATGAGAAGAATATTTCTTTATTTATTGGCTATTATGTAAGAAATGGTTTAAATGCTCTGATCTTTCTTTCAGTAGCAAAATCACATGGATGGATTATTTAACATCCATCATTCATTCCCATTTTGGATCTCATTGATAAATAATCGAAATACATTGTCATGATATAAAAATGAAGTGTTTTTATATACTTACTATATGTAAATATTTGCAATTTTTGCAGGGCCGTAGCCAGGAATTTTCACTTAGGGGGGCCAAGTGCTCACTTGGGGGGGGGCACTATTTTTTTAAAATCAAACAAATAATTACGCATTCATAGAAATTTTTTCCTATTTTTATTAAAAATTTAATAACAAAATAATACTATAATATGAATATACAAAAAAAAATAATACTATAATATGCATATACAAAACAAAATATTACTATAATAGAATACGGCGATTTTTATTTTTAAATTTTATTATAAATGAACTAAAAGATAAATTCTGCTTTATTCTTTTTTCATACGCCATTAATACTAAATTTTGTTTACGTTTATCCTTCATAGACTCTCTACTGCTCAATAAAACTCTCTTTAATGTAGAGAACGAGGCCTCACAAGAAGCCGTTGATATCCCAATGATTATCGCTGCTGAATAGCATTTATATAATTTTTTAAATGCATGATTATATTTTTTTTTATACATAATATGTAAGATGTTTTCAAAATTATGATTTTCTTTAGCTTCCGAAGCTAGCAATCCTTTTGCTATCTTCATTTCATGATGCAGTGTTTCCATATTTAAGTTTAACAGGGATTTTAATGGGGCCATTTTATCTGATAAAAAATAATCAGGGTCAAGAGGGAACAATGTATTAAAAGATGAAAAAAGATTAAAATCATCTTCTGTAAATCGGTCTAAAAAACGATCCACAAAGTTATCTATAATTTCATAATATATCCTTTTTAAAGAACTCCAATTGGAGTCTTTTTCACAATCGAATTCTAGTTTGCTATCAACTAAAAAATCTTGGAAATTTTTAGGCGTTTTACGTACCCGTGATGATTTTTGGGGAGTGAGATTAAATTTTGATAAAAGTTTTTCAGCCTTAATCATAATCAAAGCAAAAGAATTATCACTTCTTTTATTTTTTAATATATTGATAGTAGAATCAATACAATTTTTAGCATCCACTAAATTAGTACCTACTGATTGTAGATACTTATTTAGTGGATCTATTGTAATTAATATCTCATAAATTATGATGGCTAATATAATGTAATTTATATTAATACATTGAGATAAAAGACCAGAGGCTTCGACTGAATCATGAATTGAAACCTCGGAATTAAGAGTTCTATTAGAAAAGTAAAATAATACTTCACCAATAGCCTCAAAATTCTCATAAATAATGCGAGATGTTTCTAAATGACCAGTCCATCTCTGGTCTAAAAGTCTCTTAAGGGTGTGGCCTGTATATTTAGATACGTTAAAACGCCTGAAAAAATTATACAATGCATTTGATAAATTAAAAAAATTAGAAATATTAACAATATTATTATACCAATTTTGAACCACAAGATGCAACTTGTGGTTGTAGCAATGTATAAAAGGAACATTTTTATTAATTTTTTTTTGAAGAAGTGTTTGCACTCCTCCATTTCGGCCAGACATCGTTTGCACCATCATATGCCTGGCTTATTATATTAGCTGAATTAATATTTAGATCATTAAGTTGCTTTAAAATGCAATCTGTAATGCTTTCAGCAGAAAGACACTCTAAATTAATGATTCCTATTAAATTTTCTTGGATTTCTCCAGAAAAAATATAGCGAATTATTATGCTCAGATTTTCACAACCTGAAGCATCTTTTGTCTCATCTGCCTTAAGACAAAAAAAAGGCATCTCGCTTTTATTATATTTGTCTGAAATTTGTTCAAGCACCATATCTGCCATAATGGATATTACTTTGTTTTGAATCTGTGGTGATGTATACTGGGCATTTTGGGGTATAAATTTCATAATTTTATTTAATTCAGGGTCTTTTTGGATGGTGTAGGAAAACATTGCTATAAATAGTCCAGAAGAATAAATTATGTTTTCATCTTTTGCAGCATCCGTAATATTTGTTGAACCAGTCCCACGGAAAGGTAGCTCTTGTATGCTAAGAAACAGCATCAAATCAAATATTGATTTAATATAATATTGATTACGATTAATTTGATCACCTCCCAACATTTTAGTTATTTCTGTACCATTGTTTATATTTTGATTTTTATCATGCCATATTGTAATTGAATTTAAATGAGCTTTTGAGCTCTCGTGTTTAAGCAGTCCCTTCTTGGCAGCTAACGCATTTTTCCAATTTCTGAATTCCGTTTGTCCAAATTCATCACTTGGATTACACAAGTATTTCCTACATGGAAAACAAAAGGCAGCGTCAGCTTCTACACTATACTCCAACCAGTCTCGGCCTCTATACCATGATTTTTGAAATGATCTTTGCCTTCCATGGATATCTTTTTTCGCGTAATTGTTTAATTTGATTGGATTTGGTTTATTCTGGCCAAGGTCACCAGGGATTTGAATTGAACCATTAGAGGACTTTTTTGACACTAAAAATATTATAATTAATAAATTGTAATGAGGGAAAGGGTCATAAATAATAATGGTCATCAGGATGGGCGAAGGAAGGGCATGCTGAAAATGAACAAACACAAAATTTATCTTGTATTTAAGATACAAGTTACTGTAGTGCCCAACCCTGATGAAGATTATCAGTAAAGTTGATCAGTAAAATTTCAGTATTAAAAACTAGAAAAAAGTCATAAACATTATAGGGTCATTCCATGATAAATCAACCACGATTCGGCCGACCCCCTTCGATTTTTTTAAAATTTGGTAAGCAAAGAAAGGTCAATGTAACTAAGAAATAGCCAAAATTTTAGCCTCGTAACATTTATATTTTTGGAGATATTAGGGTTCAAAGTGGCAAAAATGTCGTATTTTTACCATTATCTGCCTTCATTCAATTAAGCATATCTTAAAAACTATCTAATTGTAAATAACAAATTTAATATCAAAATTACTTACAAAGATTCTACTTTTAGATAAAAAAAAAAAATTTTTTTTTTCAATTTCCGGCCATTTTATTAAATATATAAGGACTAAAAACGATTTTTTAGAAATTATACGACCTTCAATTTTTTTAAAAAATTTAGTAGACAACACTGAACTCTTCCTTTATATTTATAAAAAAAAATTGATCTGGGACGAAGCCATCTTCATTCTCAAAATCGATAAAAATGTTTAGAAAAGTGTATAAATATTTCCCCGAAAGGGGGCGTCTTTGCATAAATTTATATTTAAATCAGTTTTTAATGGTTTTTCTTAGACTATTTGATATAATTTAAAGGAGTATTTATCTTGTAAGTGAAAATAACAATAAATGGGGCTTTCATTCAATTATAGAAATTGCCTATCGATAAAAGAAATTCAATTTATTACTTTATTTATAATTTTTTATAAAATTTTTTTGCTAATATAACATATATTAATATTAATAAAATATATTCAACCAAATTTATACTTCTTGAATATATGAATCAGAATCTTTAGCATTTCATATATGGCGCCCTAAATATTAAAAATAATTGATATAATATAAATTTTAAAATCTAATATATAACTCACTTTTAAAAGATTCTAATTTTTCGGTAGCGTATTTACTTTCTTGTGACGACAATGTGTAACTACGGCCAGTAGCAGTTAACGGTGAAACTAATGTTAAGATATGACATTTTGGCAAGTAGAGAGTGTCGTCTATACTTGGAAATGTAAAGGAATTAGAAGGTCCGGATGGGTGTAAAAACTTTATATATATTTCTTCCTCCTTTTGATTTTTCCCTAAAACTAAGGCTAACCACCAATTAGAATCATAAACACATGTTATAT